GACACCTCTGGAATCTGATGCGGATGCAGCTCTTGATCTTATCCTAGATACAACCAAGCCCGACATCCACAGGACCTGACTGCAAAGAGACCCATGGTGCAGCCTTTCTGATAAGCACTGAAGCCAGTTTTTAGTAAAAAGTGCTACACATGGGGCTGCTTTTTTGAGTTTCTCCCTTGAATCTGTGGGAAGGCATTGTGAGGGCACAAGTGGCTGGACTGGAGAGGGGAGGGGCATTCTATAGCTCGGTGGGTAGGACTTAGTGATCCCTGTGTAGGGGCAAGCCAGGTGTAAGAGGCAGAAATGATGGCCGGGAGGTCTCAGGATGAAGTCAGAGGGTCCCAGGGTTTGTAGCACAGGTCCAAGGAGCTGAGGATTGGGCACTGGGTTGGCAGAGGTGGGCAGATGCATCCCTAGAACCTTCTTCAACTGAATTGTAGAGAGATCCCCTTTTGAATTTTGTTCTCCTCTGAAATCTCACAATTCAAGAAATTCAGTAGGATGTGAATTAGAAAATGGAGTTTGACCACCGTGTCCTCTAGACCTAAATCTTGCTAGAGAGTTCCCTTGGCATAGGAGGAAGTGGAGCTGGACTTTCAGCATGTTGCTAGCCAGGGATCTCATCCAAAAGCAAGACCTCTGAGAACGTTTTTGTCTTCCTCCCCCGTTTCTTGGTCTCTTCCTGTTAGTCCATCTCCCAGGAGGATTAGTTTGAATTAAAAAAATGATGGGTGGAGATAGAGCAGGAGGTAGGCCTTAGATTACTGAGAAGCTGGACCGAGTCATCGACCAGATGTTCTCCTGAAACACAGGCACTCACAGGCAGGACTGCACCCACCCTCCATCCTTGGAGCTGTTACAAAGCCCACTTAGAGTTAAAAATCAACCAAAACCCAGTGAATTCCATGGATAAATAATAGAATAGCAACACCAACCAAAGACAGCAGAAAGACAGTTCTTATCCCACTACACAGGGACCTCATTCCAAAAGACATACACTCAAACACACTATTTTGATAAATAAAATGAGATTGCATCATTTATTGAGAAGGGTACCAGGATATGAGGCTCTGAAACACACCTCTTTGGAACATGGATTATTCTGAACTAAAAGCCACTGAGAATGAGCAGAGGCAGGAAAAGCTCTAAACATAGGGCACCAAGATTCCTTTTGGGCGGGAAATTTACATTGATAAAGGAAGCATTCATTTGTGAAAGGCTACTCCCTTTCCGGTACTGAGTTCAGTCTAGAAACAGATCTTTCATTAAGCAGCCCTTGTTTAACATACTTTTCCTGGTCATCCCATGACTTGCTTTCCCCCAACCCCCAGGATCCCTCAGCCCCTTTTTATTTACTTAGCCTAATGTGGTATATAAGCCCGGTTCTAACCACCCCTCCTCACCAGGTGCTCCCCTATGCACATGTTCATGAACTTCGGTGTTTTCCTCTTGTTAATCAGTCTTTTTTCAATGTAATCACAAGGCTGGAGTACCTAAGAAGAGTAGAAGAGAAAGATTTTATTTTTCTCTCCTACAATTGGGTCCTGATTTTTCATATTTCCATGGCTTGTCCATACCATGATTTACCTATTAATTTTTTTCTTAGACATTTACATTATTTCCAATTTCAGTTTAATATTGTAGTATATAAGCTTATAGTCAAATCTTAGTCCTGATCCTTCATTTTTTTCTTATGAAAAAATTATCCTTGTGGACTTGGGTCAGAATAAAAATATTTCCAATGCTTCTGATTCACATGACACATTGTCCACCAGAAATCACACTTATTTGCATTTCTACTGAAGCATTTTTACCCACATCAACACTGGGTTGTTTTTTTTTTTAATGAAAATTGAAAACGTATCTGTGTTAAGATGGGCATCTCTGTATAAATAAACTGTATTTTCAAGAATTCTCATTTAATTGGATCTTTTTGTTTTTTTAGTTTTTAGTGGACACAATATCTTTATTTTATTTTTATGTGGTGCTGAGAATCGAACCCAGTGCCTCACACATGCTAGGCGAGCGAGCTACCACTTGAGCCACATCTCTAGCCCCTTAATTGTGTATTTTATTTTGTGAATTTCTCCTTTTAGGACCTTGACCCATATTATTAAGAAGGTGTCTATCTTTTCTTACTACATTTACAAGAAAAAATAATTTATTTACTTTATATTGTTATTATATTTATATTATTTATTTATGTTATATATTATTTATATTATATTATTTATATTAACGTGATGCTAAGGATCAAACTCAGTGCCTTACACATGTTAGGCAAGTGCTTTGCCTCTGAGCTACAGCCCCAGCCCAAGAAAAAATTAATTTAAAGGATATTAAGCCTTTGTCAAGTATCTTGCAAATAATTTGTCTCTTTTAGTACTTGGCCTTTAAATTTTTAAATAGGTTTTTACATACAAAAGTTTAGAATTTTGCAGTCATACTTATGAATCCCTTTCTTTTTCATGGTTTCTGCCCTTGAAGACATGCTCATGACTCCCAATTAATTTAGACGTGAGAGGAGGAGAGTTAAAGTCAAAAAAAAAAAAAAAAAAAACAGAAAGCAGCTTTCCATTTGGTCTGTGAGAGCACTGGAAAAACTATCAGGCAAATGAGAGGAAGAGGAAGCAACCTGTCTTAAAAGCAGAGGCACGCTGGGTAGGGTGGTGCGTGCCTTTAATGCCACAGAGGCTGGGGCAGGAGGGTGGCGAGTTCAAGACCAGCCTGGGCAAACTAGAGACACCCTGTGTCAAAATAAAAAAATTACAAGGAATGAGGATATAGCTCAGTGGTAGAGCATTCCAGGGTTCAATCCCTAGTACCCAACTCCAAAATTAAAGAGAGAGAATAGATGGATCAATTGATCAGAAGTAAACTGAACAATGATTGTCACCAGGGCTAGCTTTAGACGGGTGGCTGGTGGGTTAGTCACTTACAAGCAAAGAAGCTACAAGCTAATTATTTCTCAGAGTCTACATATACTTTAGGGGGAAAATGTGTGCCTTAAGCTTACTTTATTATTTTTTAAAATTATTACAGAAAAAGTTGGTGTCCTTTAACAGAATTTCGAACTTCACAGAAGTTGATATATTAAAAAAGGGACTTTAGCCCCCGACATTTATGTCAGTAAAGGTGAATGCTTGCTTAGCATGAATGGGGCCCTGGTTTCAATTCCCAGCACCACACACATAAACACAGATTGATAATAATGTAAATTATTGCCTTTAATAATTTTGCAAACCCTATGGTAATGATGGTGCTTTATGGCTAGGATATCTATATTTTTGGGTGAAGTTAGACTCATGTTTGATGTTTCTTCTATAAGCTGATAATTTATATCCTTTGCCCATTTTAAAAGCTTTTTTTTCTCCTTGATGATTAAAAATTTATGTATAGGCAAGAAATAATGTAAAAAATGAAAAGACGTGACAAAATATTTGCAATATATGTGAAAATTATAATTTTACATTTTTTTATGTAGTCAATGATGTTCATCTTTTTTTTTATTACTTTGGGATTGTGTGATACATGTAGTTAGGCCTTCTGTACCCAAAGATATAAAAACGTCTTTCTATATTGTCTTTTAAGCAGTATTACAGTTTTATAGCATTTAAAATTTTAATCCAATTGTCATCTGTCATCATGAGTGTTGTGAGTGAGGGGTTTATTACACACAGGAGGTGAATACGTTATTTAGGCTTCCTTTCACACAGTAGTAGCAATCCACTGCTTTGACTTCATTGCATTTCCTGGGCAACTTTCTGACAGATAATATCTGTTTCTGTATCTGACGTTGAGAAACAAAACCTAAAAAAGCACTACTTTTAAAACTTTTGCTCACTGTGTCCTGATGAATCTTCAAACTGAAAACTTCCATTGGAAATCTGTTCCTGGGCTCTCCGTGTTTCCTGTGCCGGATCTCACAGGGCATCCTTTTCAGAAGACACCCATCTCTGCATCACTCTCTCCCAGTGTCACAAATTTCCTCTCTTTTTCCCCTCCCTGTTCTCTTGTTCTCTGTTTTTCCCTCTTGCTCCCTTTCTTTCACCATCTGCAATGTTGACCACCTTAGATATTTTTCTATCTGGTTGGTTTTCATAGGTTCCGTGCCTCTTACATGTTTTGCAACAAGGTTTTATTTACCTAACGGTGAATTTCAAGAGTTGTAAAATATGTGCTAAACAGAAGATTTGGAGATTTTTAAGCATTTACAGCTGAGACTCAATTTGTGTTTCTTCCTTTTTATAACATAAACAATTTTAGAACATTAAAAATATCTTTTCAGGAAAGAGGAAAAAATCCATTCCTAATCATTTCATGTGTATACATTTTCCAGTATTTATCATCATAGGATAAATATTTGTATTTTTCTATTCACTTAAGAACAGCTACCCATGTTTCTAGGTGGTTCTGTTAGAGGCAAGATAGCTGAGTGGGTAGAAGAGGGGCTGGATCATCGAATTTGGCTCTTTGCTTACAAAAGAACAGTCCTGGGCAACTTAACCTTTCTGTTCGTTTTCTCTTCATTGGATTGATAAAGTACCTTCCCCTATTTTTTTTTTTTTTTAATTTGGTGAGGATTAAAATGTGGTAAGAGCTGGTGTGGTGGTGCTTGTATAATTCTTGCAAAATGTGGTGGCTCATGCCTATAATCCCAGCGTCTCCAGAGGCTGAGGCAAGGAGGATCACAAGTTTAAGACCAGCCTCAGCAACTTAGTGAGGCCCTGTCTCTAAGTAAATAAATAAATAAAATAAAAAGACCTGGGGATGTAGTTCACTGGTAAAGTATTTCTGGGTTCAATCCCCAGTACTAAGTAAGTAAATAAATAAAGTATGATAAGAAAGCACAAACTCATAACCACAATTGTTTCAGCAAAGGAGTGCATCAGAAAGGCTGTATGTGCTAAATGTGTATGTGCGTGTTCTATGTTGTCAAAAAAAAAAAAGCACAAAGGAGAGGCACGTGGTTTAGCATTCAGTGGGGTGGACTCTTCCAGTTTCAACCTCAGTTCCTTTTGCAAGAAGAGCTCAGAACTGCCACAAGGAAACTAATCCCAAAGATGAGCCACCGGTGTAAAATCTTGGTCAGCTTTCTTCTGATTTTCAACTTTCCCAACCCAGGTAAGTAAGTGGGTGTGTGGGTCTTCACAGTCACTGTGAGAAGCTTCTTTGGAGACCCTGAAATAGTATCGAAGTTTTCACAGCCTCACTTTCTGGTAGGGAGCCTGAACACCTCAATGAGTGTCTTGCTTTTTACAGGTTCAGTCTCTAAAGCCATCAAGATCGTCTGCAGTGACTTGGATCGAGAGATCAACCTGGACATCCCCAATTTTCAAATGAGAGATGCTATTGATGACATACGATGGGACAAAGAAGGGATCATGGTTGCGCAATTCAGAAAAGGCAGGCAACCTTCCCGGCATAATGAAACCTACGAGATTTTAGCAAATGGAACTCTGAAAATTAAACATCTGAAGGGATATTATAATAGTACCTACAACGTAGTTGTATATGATACAGATGGAAAAAGGGTTCTGGAACAATCATTTGATTTGAGGATTCTAGGTAAGTCTCCATTCTCTACATTTTTTTCACTTTAACAGGGGTGTTGTTTAGCAAGTTGGGAACTAGTGATTGTGAAACGTCCCCAACCCTGCCCTCAGCCTCTGGGGTTGCGCTACGGGGAACCCAGTGCATCCCTCCTGCCCCACTGGAGACTCCAGTCCTGTGAGTGGTGGGGGGAGTAGGGTCTACACATGGAGAAATACAACCTCATCTGCCTACAGCCCTCTCTTTGGGTGGCTTTGAGGATGCGGAGCTAGGTAAAGAATCTGGATGAAAGGGGACAGGTGGGCACAGGAAAACTGGCTGTCCCCCGTGAGCGAGGTGTGGGCTGGGAAGGACAGGCTGCTTGGAGAGCCAATTTCAGGCGAGGGTACCCTGAAGAATTTAGATAGCAGGAAAGGGATGGAAATGATGGATTTAAGGACGAACAGCCTTTGTTTCCAATCTGCTCCATAGCACGGCAATTGAGGTGGAAGGTGATTTTTTGCTGATATGTGAAGAAAATACATATTGCCTGTCTCTGCATGTGCTGAGAGGGTAGGAGTGGTGGGTGATGTGGGAGGTGGGGAGACTGGCTGGAAAACGGCTGCTATAATCCTAGCAAGGTGCAGAGGGCTGCTGGGTGGTTCTTCACCTTGGTTACCCATGCAAATCAACAGGGATGCTGTTAGAAATGACCAGGGCCGGCGTCCCACCTAAGACCATGTGTATCAGAGTTTTTGGCCTGGGGCCCAGGCATCAGTAAGTGGTGATGCTCCCCAGGTGGTTCTGTTTAGTAGCCAAAGTTGGTAATCCCTGGCCTAGACTAAAGGGTGGAATGAGAAGGGATGGCTATGCTGAGGGTCATGTGTGGGGATATAGGGGCAAGGGGGATTGGGTGAGAAGCAGAAGGAAGAAGAAGGGGAATTGAAATACCACTGAAGCTGGGAGGAAGCTGCTTCCGTGAGCAAACAAACAATTCTGTGCTTCACACAGGAAATGTCATCACCAGACACAGGGTCCCTTCCTCCTGCCTAGGGTCTCCGTGGGCCCCCAAACCTGGCAGCAGCCCCCTCCCATAGTTCAGATGCTGTTAACTCTCCTGAAAATGACCCGTCTCCACACTCTAGTTCTGCAAGCTTGACTGGAAAGAAACTTGGAGGAACGGGCTGGGACTAAGAATAGCCTCTGATCATGAGCCCCGGGGACCGGGGTGTCACGAGCGCTGGGGACTGTGTTATCTTGAGTTCCACAAGCATGGCTCAGGTGTCCATGCTGGTTCAATCACATTTGGGCCGTATTTAGAATCATGGTGATCATGATGGCTACCAGGTGTCATGGGCTTGCTGACACAGTCTTACTTAAAGCTCCCAAGAATCCTGACAGCTAGTTGTCATTATCCCCTTATCGTCTATAAGAAAACAGCCTCGGTCAGGAGGAATTTTGTTCAAGTTCTCATTTCTTGACAGGAACAAAGTCAGGATTCAAACCCAGGGGTCCTCTTGGCAAGGACTGGTCCCTCCCTCCAACTCCCAATTTGGTCGAGATATCAATATGCCGTCCAAGTTGCCCATTTATTTGTTTATTTTATCTATTCTAATTTGTTATACATGTCAGCAGAATGTGATTCAGTTCATATTACACATATACAGCACAATTTTTCATGTCGGGGGGTTGTACACAAGTAGTCACACCATTCGTGTCTTCATACGTGCCAGTTGCCCATTTAACATGTAAAATTCAATAGCCTTACATACATTCGTAGAGCTCTACAACCATCACGACAATCAACATTTTTGTTACCCTCCCCCCAAAAAACCCTGCACCCTTTAAAGTCAGCGACTTTACTGGATGTTTGCACGTCAACTTTACACAGCGTCATTATTCGATTTGTGGTCCAACATCATTACTTGTCCCATAGTTTTGGCAAATATCTGTCTGGTCTGAGTCTATTTTTTCCCAATACAGTTTAATGTATGGGATTGAAAGTATTTTGGATTTGGGCTGTTTTAAGATTTTGGAATATTTGCATAGATATAATGAGATATTTTGGGGCTATGACCCAAGTCTAAATATGAAATTCATTTGTTTCATAGGCACTTTGTGCTCATAGCCCAACAGTAATTTTATACAATATTTTCAATAATTTCAAGAATGAAACAAAGTTTCGTGATGTGGAATTTTCCACTTATGTCACCATGTCATGGCTCAAAATGTTTTGGATTTTAGGGCATTTTGGATTTGAGGATTAGGGATGCTCCACCTATAATAACTTCAAGGGATATTCAATGAGACCGTGTATGAAAAGGTGCCCTAGACGGCCTGGGACACTACCCCTGTGTGCTCTGTGCTAATGCCCAAGCCCCTCTCTTAGTTCCTCGATGCCTCTCGCAGCCTCAGTCATGGTACCCACATCTCCTTACCGAGGAGGCTGCTCCTGTTAGCTGAAGAGGCAGTGGAGGGCCCCATTCAAGCAGATATCAGTAGAGCAGAACTTAATCCTAGCAGCCCAGAATTAAGGAGTTCTCACCTATGAGCAGGACCTAACAATTTGCTGCTATTAACCAGGTCAGGCCATTTCCTAGAACACTCTCTTACAGTGAGGACATGTACCAAAATTCACCATTTGAGGCTATTTGTTTTTTCAGACTTTGTGTTGTTGTTTTATTATTATTGTTGTTGTTGTTGTTTTTGTTATTATTATTATTATTTTGGTGGGGCTGGGGATTGAACCCAGGGCCTTGGTGCATGTGAGGCAAGCACCTTACCAACTGAGCTGTATCCCAGCCCACATTCGAGGCTATTTGTGACTGCATTGTTTACACTAGTATGATACTGTGTGGATTGAGAAGTCTTTGGCAGTTAGGAACTTAGTAACTATGTCAAGAATGCATCAAATGGTGGAGATGCACATTTATTGATGTTCAGGAAAGAAAGAATTTCATAATATAACTTCTACTGAGAGGGAAAAAGGCAGACTATAAAACCACATAATCCAGTTTTTTAAAAACTTGTAATTTGTTTTAATTAATTATATATGACAGTAGAATGCAATTATGAGCTTTGATATATCATACATAAATGAGTATGAGTTCTTCTTTTTCTTTTTTTTAAACAATTTTTTGTTGTCAGTTTTATTGAGGTACAATTAACATACAGTAAGATTTGCCAGTTTGTGTGTGTGCGTGCGCGCGTGCACACGTGTGTGCGTGTGTGTGAGTGTGTGTGTGTGTGTGGTGCTGGGGATTGAACCCAGAGGCCTTGTGCATGCTACGCAAGCACTCTACCAACTGAGCTATACCCCCAGCCCTATAATTTCTTCTTTTTCTTTTTTGTTTTAAAGAGAGAGAGAGAGAGAGAGAGAGAGAGAGAGAGAGAGAATTTTTTAATATTTATTTTTTTTTAGTTTTCGGTGGACACAACATCTTTATTTTATTTTTATGTGGTGCTGAGGATCGAACCCAGGCAAGGGTTCGATGAACCCCACGCATGCCAGGCAAGCGCGCTACCGCTTGAGCCACATCCCCAGCCCCTCTTATTTTTCTGATTGTACATGTTATAGAATCACATTGGTCATGCAGTAATATATATATACATAAAGTAATAATGTCTGTTTTTTTCTATTATCCTTCCTATGCCTATACCCCTCCCCTCCCTTTACTCCTTTCCCCTCCCCTCACTTCCCTCTACCTAATCTAAGGTAACTCGATGTTCTCTATTGCCCCCACTCCATTGTGAATTAGCCTCCACATATAAGAGAAAACATTTGGCCTTTGGTTTTTTGGGATTGGCTTATTTCACTTAGCATGATATTCTCCAACTCCATCCATTTTCCCGGCAAATGCCATAATTTCATTCTTCTTTAAAGCTAAGTAATATTCCATTGACTATATATACCATACTTTCTTTATCTATCCATCTATTGAAGGATATCTAGATTGGTTCCATAGTTTATGTATTGTGAATTGAGCTGCTATAAACGTTGACATGGCAGCATTACTATAGTATGCTGATTTTAAATCCTTTGGGTATAAACCCAGGAGTGGGATAATAATACAGTTTTAATTTTTAAAATATCATTGATATACATGTTCATGTATAGAAAATAGCTAGTAAAGATATACATCAAAATATTCAATGCCAGGCGTTGAGGTGCACACCTGTAATCCCAGCAATTCTGGGGGCTGAGGAAGGAGGATCAAGAGTTCAAAGCCAGCTTCAGTAACTTAGTGAGGCTTTAGGCAATTTAGTGAGATACTGTGTCAAAATAAAAAGGACTTGGTAATCTTGTACCAAAAAAAGAAAAATAATAATTTTTGACCATGGGTAGTTAAATTGCATGTAATATTTTTTTGTGTGTTTTAAACTATTTTATATTTTATCAGTTTTTACAATGATGGGATATTACCAATTAGGAGACTCTAGATAGACACCTTGACCCCAGCCCTAGACTACTTACTCTAGAGCGTGGTGACGCATCTCCATTTTCTTCACTCTGGGCTACACAGAATCTCAGGATAGGAAGAAATCATTTCTGCACGCCCATACATATTCGGTCAGCAATGAAATTTGACTGAGTTGGAAAGTATTTTCATCTGAAAGACAGAGAGGGAGGGAACTGTGAAGAAATAAGCTGTCTCTCTGCATGACGAACGGAGAGAAAATGAAAGGGAAGACTGGGTCAAGAGAGTCAAGGGCCAGGAAAAGAACAGAGGAGAAGAAAAGAGGTCACCCAGCTAGGGAGAGGAGGCCTGGGAGGAGGACCTGCCTTAACTAAGGCCACGGCTGGGCTGTTTTCTGAATCAGACCTTAAATATAATCACGTCAGAAAAGGAGAGGCAGGGATTTTTCTGGTTATGAACATAAACACTGCTACCAATTATGTGCACTGGGATTTGTCACATGTCATCGTTTTGTGATAGGTGGGGAACATTTTTTTTTTTTATCATTCTCTCAAAGATGAGGTCCAGCAAGGTACAGAGAATGACCAAGCAGCTCTGGGCTGGGAAAGGGCAGAGCCAGGTCTCTGGTTTCCCAACTAGAGCCCTTCCTCTGTAAGCCTTGAGCTCCTTAGGCACCCATGTGCCCACCTGGCCCTCTGCTCCCAGGACCCCAGCAGGGGGAGGGGGTGCATGGCCAAGATCCCAGGCCACAGGTTTACCTGTTCCTCCAGGGCAGGGTCCCTGGCTGCTCTGGAAGGAAGGCAGGATGTGGTAACCTCTTAACTGTACTCCTGAACTTGAAATTGGGGTGGGGCAGGCTCCTCTTTTGATGTGCCATTTTTAAATGAGCACCCTAAAACAACTCATTGAACCTCTCAGAGTCCAGGACTTTCCATCTGTCATGGGAAGAAAAACATCAGCCTCTCTATCATAACGAAATGATTCCAAGTATGTAAAACTGTTTTAAGGTACAAAACAGTACAAAACAATAACTATTATATACTTTTAAACAGTATAATGTATCTAAAAACTCACCAGAAGTTAAGTTTGTTCTGAATGCTCTACATAAATAAAAACAAATTATTTTTAAAAATTGCTAGGGAATTCAAAAATTGTGCTGTCTCAAACGGACTCCATTCCCCACTGTCTAAATATTAAAATCAGAAAATTGACTAATATATTGGGATTTTTATTTATTTTTAGAGGTGGTCTCAACACCCAAGATCTCCTGGGATTGTCACAGCACAAACCTGACCTGTGAGGTAATAAAAGGAACTAACCCTGAATTAATTCTGTATCAAAATGGGAAACGGCTCACTCAAGGTCATCTGAAGGTCATTAGATATCAGTTGACCAACCTGAATGCAGCGTTCAAGTGCACTGCAAGCAACGGAGTCAGTGAGGAGTCCACCATGGCAGCCATCAGCTGCTCAGGTACGTGGGGGCATTGGGCAGGGTGTCCCAAATTCACAAACACAGTCTGCCAGGCCTGTGGGCACAGTGGCAGGTGCCACTTCTGCCCAGGGCTCAGGTGTCTGGGGTGGGAGACAGCTTTGGCTCAGGATGGGAAGTGACAGGTGTACCTCTCCCCCTTAGAAGCCTTCAAGGGAAGGCTTCAGGAAGGGGTGTTCCATGTGACCCACCTCAGGAGACTTCCAGGGAGTGTGTGATTTGACCTCAGAGAGTTGAAATCATCCTCTTCCAGGAAAAAGAATTGCTGTATTGAAGAGGGAGAAGGAGAGGCAGAGATCATGGCATTGCAAACCCCCATTTCCCTGAGGGGCAAACTGACTTGTCCAAGACCTCGCTGCTCGTTAGTGACTGTGATGATCAAGACTATCAGATGAGTGGGTTCTTGGGCCTAGTTCCAGGCTTGCTTGCATGGGCTTTGGGGCTGCCTGAAAACAGGGCGTTCTATGCTTCCTTTGGAGCCTTCTGAGAGACAGCAAGAGTGAGTGACCAAAACAAAAGCCACAGTCTTTTTATGACTTCATCTCATCTTTGATAGCCCCACCCTTCTGCTGGACTTTATGCCTTAGCAGTAAGTCCAGCCCACACTCAGAGGGGACTGCGCAGAGGCAGAAATGCCAGGAGGCAGGGGTCACTGGAGGCCGACTATCAATCAGATGGTCAGCCAACCACAAGCTTAGACCAGTGTCACTCTGCCCTGTCGTGTGGGCCACCATCAGCCATTCTCTCCCATCTTCCACTTCAGGAGGGCCTTGGTTGGAGATGCTAGATTTCATAAGTAAAAATATGGCGTACTTCCAAACGTGGCATATTATGCTAAAAATTATTCATTGTTTATTTGAAATTCAAATCTAACTGACCTGTGTTCTGTCTGGTAGTCCCACCCTTCACACTTGTTTTAACTAGATCCCACCAGTGTGCATTAAGGAGGGCGCAAGGCAGCCACACGCATGTCCCTTGTAGAAGGTGCAGAGCAGGAGCTGGTCCAGGAAATGGCCGCTGAGGAGATGGGAGGGACACCTTGGGTGGAAGGGAAGGAATGGGCTGCCCTTAAAGACCCTAAAAGGGATTTGGACATTTCACTCTAAAAGGCCAAGGCTGAGAGGATCAGTGGGCAGATGCGTTTAACCATTTAGCTTGAATAAGGTCTACTTAAGACCCTGGGAGGAATTAGCACATTCGACACACAAGAAATACTCCATCCACAAACTCATGCACAGAGGAGGTGTAGGAGGGAGGTGTGGTTGCATCTAGAGAACCCGAGAACCTGGGTTTTGTTGTTGTTGTTTAATTTTTTAAAACGTGTTCTTTTGAGTTACTCACGACAGTAGAGTGTATTATGCCATGGCATACATACATGGAGTATAACTTCCCATTCTTATGGTTGGACATAATGTGGAGCTACCCTGATCTTGTAGTCACATATGAACATAGGAAGGTCACGTCCGATTCATTCTACTGCGAGGACCCGTTTTTAAATGACAAACCAAAGCTGCCTCTAGGGCAAGGTGGAATGTCCCTACAGCGAGCACTACCCGGTGTCGGGGGACCATACTGGACAGACCTGAGCATAGAACTGTGGGAGCCACCATCTACATTCCCAAGTGTGCCTCCTGCCCACAGACTCTAAGGGAAAATGGCCGGTGTCTTTGTGGCCTACACATGTGTCCCCAGCTCACCCCAGGCCTGCCCTTCCCCACCTGGGTCAATCTTGAGCAGTCTTCAGCTTAGCAGGAGACAGAGACCCCAGATTCTTTCCTGGCCCAGTTTCAATGGTAGAGGATTCTGGCTGCTTATCTAATGGAGCTCCTTCATAGGCAGAGCTCAGAGAGGTTGTGTAATTGGCAGGCAAAGAATGGGTGAGAGAGAGACTGCAGGAAGGACAGCCAAGGATGAATAAACCAGCACAGTTTGAAACCCTGCTCAGTTTGGTGTCTGAGCCTCTGGCGGGATCCCTGGGGCCCGTCCTGGGTCCGTGTGTAACAGCCTCTTCCTAGGATCTTTTGGCTGCAGAAGTGTTTTTGTGATGCTGGGCTTAGCTCCAGTTTGTTCTCCCAGCGTCCCAGTCCCCTGACCCCCCAACCCCAGCTGCTCCTCTTTAACTGCTATTGACTCACCAAGGGCAGATGGCCCAGCAGCCCTCCTTGGGAAACTGCTACCAAAAACACTAGTGCAAAGAGCACTAGTAAAAGCAAGACCTCACATTTGTGTGTTGTTTTACAGTTTATAAAGCACTTTTCCATCCATTATCTGATTGACTTCCAACAGCCACCCTGTGATGTAGGTTTCATTGTTTCCATTTTACAAAGAAGGAAGGAGGCTCCGAGAGGTGGAGTAACTTGCTAAAGGTCACACAGCTCTTGTCTAAAAGACCCGGACCAAACCCCGTTTCCCTGAACACTGAAGTCTTGGTTTTCCTTATTGTGTTACAGTGACTGAAGTTCTAGGAACTGAAGGTACCTGCCAGTGCTGTTGCTGTCTCAGTGAACTTCTCTCAGGGGTCTGGGGAAAGTCTGGCAGGAGAGAGGGCTGGGTTGCATCAGTGAATTAATTTACCCTGAGTGTTTGGAAACTGCCTGATCAAGAGGGTAAAAAAGAATAGGCCCCAGAGGGAAGCCAGAGATGAAAGAGCAGGAAGATGGCAGAGACAGCCAGAGACCAGAGACTGCTTAGAGGAACCAGTCAGAAACAGATACTGTGTGGCCTCAGGCAACTCATCCTCCCTCTCTGGACCTTATCTTTGAAACTCATCCTCCTTCCTTCTATAGAGATGACACTTAGATTATCTCTAAACTACTCTTGTCTAAAATTCTGTGATGCTCGGCTGGGGAAGTGGCTCCGTGGCAGATTGCTTGCCTAGCATGCTGTGAAACCCTGGCTGGGGTTTCATCCCCAGCCTCACCAAGACAAATTAAAAATAAAAAAATGAATAAAATGTCATGATGCTCTCCTCGGCCAGTGGGCAGGGATGGACAGGCCTCGGGGCATGAACAACCAGGGAGTTCTAGTCTCAAGTTTCCCAAGGAACTCCAGAGGCCACTTACCCCTTGACCTCTTCTAGGCATGGACCCAATTTGCCACCCTCCTTAAGCTTGGCCCTTTGTGACCTTGAATGGTACCATCAAGCTCTTCTTTCTTCTTCAAGTGGGAAGCTGGGGTCCTTAGCCTGAAGCAATGCAATGGGCTGCCCAGGACCCTTCCTCCCCACCGAGTCTCCTGTCTCTTCTCTTTCAGGGGAAGGTCTGAACATCTATCTCGTCGCTGGTGTCTGTGCGGGAGGCCTCCTCCTGTTCTTTGTGGCGCTGCTCATTTTCTATGTCAGCAAGAGGAAAAAGCAGAACAGCAGGCGCAACGGTGAGCTCCCCCTCTTTTGTGTCACCCCAGGCCGCAGCAAAATCCCCACGGAGTCATCTCAAGGGGATGGCACCTTGGGTCCTCAAAGAAAAGAAGGAGATGGTTTCAGAACGTCAGGACGGGAACCAGAAGCTAGAGCTTGTTCCACTTTGTGGTTAGCTTGAATTCTGGGAAGAAAAAAAAAGCATTCTTGGGGCCCACGGCGAGGGAGTTTGAGGAGCTACATCCTGGCTGGTCTCATCGGAATCCCCGCTTGAGGCTGAGTGCGTCTAAGGCTGGCATAGAGAGACGCCAAAGGGCCTCACAGCTCCATGTGGGTAGAAAGATTCGTTCGAAAATACCTTGTCCATCTGCAGACCTTGAGTGGCCCTGGTCAATACCAAGCTCCTGGGAACTAGGTAACTGGGGGTGTGGCTCATGCAGCGCTCTTGCCTTTGGGCTAGGCCCTGGGTTCCCTCCCCAGCACTACAAACAAACAAAACCCTCCCAAACAGGTCTCTGTACCCCCTTTTCTAACTGACTGTTCAGGAGGGATGCATTAGGGATGGGGGTGCTGTTTCCTTGGGTCAGTCCTGTCTCGCAACCCACCAAACATGAAAAGGTCATGCTCATGAGTGGAGATCCAGACCACCTAAGGCAGATTGCAGCAGGGAGGGACAGACCAGGTGTCGCTGTAGGTGCAGGGTTGGGGTATCCGCCACCAGCTGGGCAGGCAGCTGTGCAGGCAAGCCGTGGAGTCCTGTGCCATCTCTGGTTCATACCAGGACTGCGGCCCCTCGCCAGGCTTCTCTTCCTAGAGCTCCCAGGCCACGCCCACCAGCAACTTCCCACACAGCCGGGGACCTGGTGTGCAGCCACCCAGGATCCTCGGGCCCTGCACCCTTTGGCGTTGACGCCTTACTTCAGACTTCTTTCCACAGTTCTCCCTCAGCCACCCCTTTAGGTGGCCACCCCCGGCCCCATGTCTCACCGTACTCCATTAGGGAGCTGGGCACGTCTTTCTAAAACAGTCCCTTGGGGAGTCCCCCAGGTGCTGTGGCTTCCTCAGCTCTGTGCCTTGCTCAGCCTGTCTTCCCTACAAAGGTCCTTTCTTATCACCAATGGTCAACGACCATGCTCTCTTCCAAGGTAGACCTCCCAGGTCTCCCCAAGACAGAGCAGCCCCTGATCTCACCAGGCTGAAGTGACCCACCTGATAATTAGCTCATGTTGACAAAGAAACTGACCTCTAGGCTTGGCACTCACCCTCCCACCAAGCCTCCAGTGGCCTTGGGAGAGAAAACACCACCACAGGTGACAGCCTCACCCCCATCAGGGAGGCTACATTCTTTGCCTCAAGCTCTGTGACCAGGAAGCTGAGTCAGGATCAGGGGGAGGCAAGGAGCCCAAGGGCACAACCTTTAAGGAGGCCCTCACCTTCCTCTTGCATGCCCTGCAAGTGGGCACCTCCTTAAATCCCACACCCTCTGCGCTTCCTTTGTCTCACTTCAGTCCCAAGCCTGGGTGAGTAACAAGGAGATGCAGGTGAAGGAAAGGGCCGATGAGCCGGGAAGAACTCCTGGGAGCAGGTGTGGACGTTACTGGAGTGGACATGCTGGGGACCTGTGGTGCTGCTCTGACCTGTGCAGAGCCACAGCTGATTTGTCCGTCTGAACCTGCCCAAGAGCTTAGCCACTAGGCCACGCCCTACTCCTCACCCTGCGACTGTGGCTCTTGGCACCTCTCTGGTGGCCCTGTGCAATCCTGAGACTGGTATTGTGATTTGCTGTCCTCACTTTGTCTTACGTGATTTTAGACTTCCTGAGGACAGTGTGTCTGAGTCATGATTGCCACTTAGTAATAGTGCCTAACACCTAGGAGGTCAGCAATCAGTGTAGGAGGAGCAAACGAATGAGAAGCAGGACAGACACCAATCACAAATGGCAGCCTAAGCTTGCCACATGGGGTGAAGCAGGGCTGCTCACTGCTCCATACCCAGAACTGGGACTGAGGGTCAAAGTCCTCTCTGCATCCTCCAGAGCATAACTTCAGCTACCTCTGGGCACCAAAGATGGCAGACAGGATGCATTCTGTCCTTTCTGGGCCCTTCTGTCTAGGCGCTTAGAGCACCCGGGCCACACAGATGTCAAAACCACATTATCTGACTTTGAGCCTTCATGTTCAAAGCCGCCTCATGTTTGTGTTTCCAGCAGCCGGAGGAGGCTGATTGGATTGGCATCATCTGCCTGAACTTACAGGTGATGCTCAGAGGGACTGTGCTTCCCAAGCCACAGCACCATAAAGGTGCAAGAGATCACTAATTTACCCCAGGGGGGATCTACTCCGGCCTGCCTCTACAGCCTGTGAGGATGGTCTTGTATGTGGGACTGGAATACCTAACTCCTAGCCTGGAGGCCAGAGGGGGCCAGCAGAACCCCCTCTGTCTATGGCAGCGAGGCAGCCTCACAGATTTCCTTTGTGACTTGAAAACAGTACAGGAAAAACTACTATATTCTGATTAGTCCTGGGCTGTCTTCATGGGCTAAAGTCACACAAAGCAGAAAGACCCCAAAGGGTGAGGGAAGAAGAATCTTTCCCTCCTTGGCCCAAGAGGATGGGTCTTGTGCACAAATTTCCAAGGAACTAGTCAATTTCTGAGGACTAAAAAGCCCCTTGTGAGTGTTCCAACCTGACGCCAGAATGTAGGTTGCCTGACAACAGACTGAGTAGGAGCATATCCACACAGAGACCCGACAGAAGGAATGTAGCTCCTCTGAGACGACTCAGATTCCCCGACAACAGACTCTGATCACGAGGTTTGCTCTCAGGACCCGGGTCTAGGATGGTCTGGCACCGAGGCAGACCTGGGTTTGAGCGCTGTCTGCTCTCTGGCGCGAGCACCAAGCTCTCCCTGCTAGGTGCCTCCCCCGCTCTGTGTCCCTGAATTCTGCAAAGCCCTGGGGCCTCCCTCCAGCTTGTGGTCAGCATTTCTCCTGCCCCAACAAGACTGAGAGTTCTTGGAGCCTAGGGACAGCTCTGTCCCTGCTTCCTCTTGGCTTTCTCCAAAGCCTTGCCCCTCCGAGGCGCTCCATAGTTCCCCGGATCACCTCTTGCCAGAATAAGCTCTTGAGTGATTTTGTCATTGCAGATGAGGAGCTGGAGGTAAAAGCTCACAGAACCACCTCTGAGGACAGAAGCCCAAAGCCCACCCAGATCTCCACCTCACCTCCTCCAAATCCAGCAGTTTCCCAACCTCCGCCACCACCTGGTCATCGTGTCCAGACACCTGGTCCCCGTCCCTTGCCTCCCGGTCATCGTGTCCAGCACCAGCCACAAAAGAGGGCTCCCCCATCAGGCACACAGGTTCGCCAGCAGAGAGGCCCTCCCCTCCCCAGACCTCGAGTTCAACCAAAACCTCCCCGTGGAGTGGCAGAAAATTCACCGTCCCCTTCCTCCGATTAAAACTGTCCTTTCCAATAAAAAGGCTCTTTGGAGTTCTCAGCTCTGGGTGTGCAGGTCCACTTTTCCATCAGACGTTTGCAACATGTAAGACTTTGTCGCCTCCCAGGGCTTGCAGGCCATGGTCCTCAGCCATGTGGTTGAAGATCCGTGGCCTCTTCATAGATCTCTGTCACCAAGAAGAGAGAAACAATGGGAGTGTGATTGCGAGGATGATTCATGACAGTGCACAAAACTCTTGGCAATCTCGTCTCCCTCTCACATCCCGTGCAGATGCCATATGCCCGGGGGTTACCTGGGCTTGTGTCCCCTACAGGCCTCCCATCTGCTCAAAGGACTTTCAGCTTTCTTACGTGTCCTGGTGGACACTTGCTCCCCATCCTTGAGAAGGAGTGAAATAACAGCTTAGCTTTGACCCTGGGGTCTGCTCACTGAAGGACACAGCTGGGTGTTACTCGGAGGAAGCTGCACGGTGAGAAAGAGCCTCGTTGGTGTGGCATCACCCGAGCCACCTGAATCCCCACTAGAGTGACCAGAACATTCTCCCCTGCCCCTCCCCAGGTCTCAGAAGCAAAGCTGGGTCCTGACAATCTCCGTGGCGATTTGTGAATCAACACCTCTCAGCCCAAACTTCAACGTGAGTCACCAGAAAGCTTAAGTGTTTGGGTCTCACTCTCCTGAGCCATCACTAGTGGTCTGGATGATCTGTGGAGTCATCCTTGAAAAGAGGAATCCAGGAATATCCGAGGCACCGTGAGCTCATCAGACAACACACACGAGGGCCGGCTGAGACAACTGTGTTCAGACAAATCCCGAGTCTCACAAATGACCAGTAAGAAGACAGAGGCCATCCCCAGCCGGCTGACTGCTAGCTGTGCTTTGGAAGACAGTGGGGAGATAAAGAAGAGTTTTCGGTTGCAGTTCCAAAACAATAGGCTGCGAGGACTCCTGCTTTGAAGCGTCAGTGCCAGGCTTGTGGTGCCGTCTGCCCACCTTCTCCTGGGCTCCTCAAACCTGTTAAACCTTGTTAACTCTGGCAGGAAGCTCTGGGGGCAAACCACAAAGACGAAGTATATTCAGGACTTCCTGTGAGAGCTCACTGAGAGTTGAAATGCTCTTTTCCTCTGAATCTGGGCATCTATTGTTTCAGAACCCAGAGTTAATTATAAAGGGCCGTGATGAATTAAACGCCAGAGGCTCCCGAGACTCAAACACACAATCCAGCTGGGTAACACTCTTTACAGCGTCTGCGGGAGGAGTATGCCGGCCCTGGCGCTGCCTCTGTCTCAGTCTTCTGTTTTGGGCGCCAGGGATTGAACCCCTGACCCAGGAGCACTTTGCCACTAAGCTATATCCCTCGCCCTTTTTTTTATTTATTGACTTTTTAAATTTTGAGACAGGGTCTCACGGAAGCTAAGGGTCTCACTGAGTGGCTGAGGCTGGCCTCGAACTTGCGATCCTCCTGCTTCAGCCTCCCTAGTAGCTGGGATTACAGGGGTACACTTCCGTACCTGGCCTGTCTCAATCCTCATTGCAGTCCTGAGTGATTTATTCCACTGGCCGTCCTGGTAGAATAGCTCCTATCCTTCCCTTTACAAAGCCTTCCCTGGCCTCCAGCCCTATACCCTGCCTTTCTTCTATAGCTACCTGGGGTGACATGCAGTAACAGAACACATACAGCCTGTAACTCTTCAGTCCTTCACCATTCATTCATTCAACAGTTGCTGAGCTTCTAGTATGCATCAGGCCCCGTGCTAGGCTGCTTGAGGGACACAGAGGTATACACTTACATCTCTGCTTTCAGGGACGTCACATGGAGTTGGGGGCAAGTGTAACACAGTGTGATAAATAAAGGTCAGAGACAAGCACAGGAGCCCAGAGAAAGCCTTTTAGTCTAGACTTTTAGTAGGACTGGGTGACGCAGAGGGCTTCCTAGAGGGGGTGACGTTTGAGTTGAGTTGTGCTAGATGAGTGGAGCTGGTGAAGCCGAGGGCAAGATTGTCCATGGAGAGGGAACAGCACAGGCAAGGCTTATATTGGCTACCTGTTCGCACAAGAATGTTGTTCCTCCTTCAGCTACTGTGCTTCATCCATTTGAAGGCATCATTGCTTTTAAGTGGCATATACATCACGCAAAGGAAAAACACTCTCGGTTCTACTATAGCAAGTGCTAAGGATACAATCAAAGTTGTAGGCACAACTCTGTTACTGAGATGTGAAAACATGAAAAGAGTACATTTTAGAATGAATGAAATACACAGTTCATAAGCTTTTTGAGAACAGTGACCATCGCTCAACTTGGCCCACAGCGCCATATTGAAAGTATCCCGAGCCACCTGGCCAACGGAGAGGAAGGGAAGGGAAGGTACGGCGTCTACAGCACACACACTCCTGTCCTGCTGGAGTCTCCACTGAGAGGCAGGAAACAGGCCTGGCCTGATCTTTGTGCTGCCACCATTCACCTGTTTGACATTGTACAACTGCCACTGTCCCTGACCCAGAGCGTGAGCCTTCTGACAATTGGTTAGCCCAGCTGCATAAGAACAGCTTGTGAAACTTGAGAAAAAACAACAACAACAACAACAGATGATTCAAGTAGGTTAGGTAGGAGACCAAGCACCTGGGGTTTTTTGATTGTTTGTTTGTATTATGTGGCTCTGAGAACTCAACCTGAGCCTTGCCCCATGGTAGCAAGTGCTCCACCACGGGGCCACACCCCGGTCCAACATCTGTATTTCTTTTAAAAATCATCTCAACAGGCATTCAAGTTGGAGAACCGCAGGTCTACTGGCCCTCAAATTATTAATTATCAACGATTGTTCAAAACAATGATTTTATAGAGAATGCATTATTATGAGAAAAACAAACAGTTATAGCACATTGAACTAATTCTTAGAAAATCTCTAATACAAGGAAGCCGGCCATGTTGGCAAAAAGTATTCACATAATTTATAGGAATGGAACATCCTATGGGGTCACATGAAGATAGAACACATGGTTTGGGGGACAGCCTCCCTACCATCCCCCCAAATCGCAGTCTCCTCCTAGTTGTTGGGCCAGCTTAGCTTCAAGGGGGTCCCAGCTGTAAGCTGGTGGCTTCATGTCAGTCCTCCTGTCCGTCTTCTGTCACTCAATCTCCAGTGTCGGGCTCCTCAGGACTCACCTGCTCACTGGACTTCTGTCACTCTAAGTGCACCAGTGTTGCCACCTCAGGGCCATTATGCATGCTGTTCCCACTGCCTGTTCTTTTCACCTGTCCCTTCACCAGTCCTCTCTCTTCTCTCAAGACAGTCACAGGTCATCTTTGGAAAGACCTTTGTTGACTCCTAAATTCCACCACAGCGGGATTCTTGTGAGACCTTCTTATTCTGTGTCTCGTTCTGTGGCCCTCAAGTTCTGACCCACAGACCCTGGAGCCAAAGAGTTCCGAGTCTCTCGCTGACATTGTAATCTCTGAAAAGTTAATTCAGCCTCCATGAATACATGGTTTCCTGATGGATGGAACCAGGAAAACACCTCACAGAGTTATTCTGAATGAAACAAACGTCTGTAAATATAACTAGTATATCCCTGTGTACAGAATATATCTGAAAACTTGATTGTTATTTCAAGAAGGAATGTCCTACATACATAAATGTTTCAGTTATTGGGAAAACATATAGCCTATTATAAATTAATAAATAAATACTCCCTAAAGTGACTTAGTCTTCTCTTGAGTTTGATTCACCTGAGTCTGTTTCCTAATATTGATTACCTGGGACCTGGGAAAAGTCCTACACCTGAATTAAAAGCTGGAGACCAGATCTGGAGACTACCTCACAGAGCTGAGACTGAGCCACCATCCTGCTGTTACTTCCCTGTGCCTTAAACAGGACGGTCCTAATATTGTATCTGGACTTCGCCCTACAGTTTATTCCTGGCAACCCAGAGCTAGGGGCAAGGGCAGATTCTCAATAGCAGAACTAGATCCATCCACTGGTCAGAGATGGCCTAAGAGAAGTACTCACAGCTAGTGTTTAGGGGTGGACCATTCAACCTTCAGAGACTCAAGCACATAGTCAACCAGCCCCAGAGGGTCAAAATCAACGGGCACAGCAGGGTCCCACCACAGTGACTGGGTACCTAGATTGCACAGAGCTGTCATCAGGGCAGGGGAAGGGGTAATAGTAGACAGGGAAATTTCAGTTACAGATAGCAACTTCACTAGTGCCTCGGGCTTTACTCTTCACTGAAACCCTTAAAAATTACTTTAAATTTAATAAAAATAAGACATAAACCACAAGGACAGAGGTCAGGGGAAGAAACAATAGCAGGATCTCAGAAGTCGAATCAATCCCAAGGCAGCAATGAGGAAAGTCAAGGTGCAAACTAATTCATCCCTAAAATCCACAAAATACATAGGTCTTGGTGGCACTGGGTCCCTCTAGATGGAGGAATAAGGTGAGCTGCGCTGGAAGGACAGGTGAAAGTTCTGTCTCAGAGGTAATTAGACCCCAGGTTCTCTTCCCTGTACCATGAAGATCATCACTGTCCGGCAGGAACCTGGGGTTTATGCTCTGGGGATGGTAGATGGACAGTCTCCGAATGGTGGATGCCATGCATGGTTGACAGCAGGGAAGGACATTCAACACAGAGGGATTCAGTAAAATTTTCCATTAAATATTGGGACTGAGCTTCTACCCTCCCTAGCTGGCAAATATCAGGCAGACTGTTCATGCTATGTTTCAGGCAGGATATTAGAAAATACTTGCTCTAAAAAATCTTATCAGCTCAGTAGAGGAGACCTAATAACACTGACATCGAGGGTTTCCCAATAAAACCACCCAGCTATGTGGCCCTGGAGTGAATCCTGCAATCGCTGAGCTCCTCTGACTCATGGGGAGATTTCAGTCTTTTTTGATCCCTTCTTAAATAGGAGCAGATAGTCAAGGATCTCCATGGAAATGGGGAAAGCCTCCAATATGAAAGATTGGGATTCAACAAACAAGCAGAAACATTGGAAGCAAGAGAGAAAAGTTCAAACAGCAAATTATTCATATGCTCCAAAGCATGTGAAAACATCACATCCACAAAAAAAAAAAAAAAAAAAAAAAGAACAGAGCGTTATAAAAAGAATATTCAAAGAATACAGAGGGCTTTTGGAAATTACAAATATAATAGCAGCACAAGTCCATTAGGTCCAAAATCTGAGCGGCATTTTAGAATGAGAAGGTTGGGAAAAGAAAGGAATTTATTGTCCATGAGATGATTTCAGAATTGAAGGACAGCTTCCAGATTAAGAGAGTCCACTAAGGACTCCTGATTTCTAGTTCAACATGTAAGAAGTCACCACTTCTTCTAACAGCAACTAAAAAGCTGAGCAAATTGAAAAATCAGCAAACCTAAAATCCACCAGAGAGGTGGAATCACAAGGCCAACCACTGGGCCCCAATTGAAGAGAATGACAAGAAATTGCAAAAACACCAGGCTTGCCCGGGCAGGGGACTCTGTGGGAACCAGTCGAGGTGGAAGAACTGGAAGAGCTTGCGAGGCTCAACATGGTCAAGCTTGAGAGACACTGGAGCACCCCAGACTCCTGTGAATTTTACCTGCATGAGTTCAAACAGGTTCTCGCAGTGATTTTGGAGAGAAATGTTCTCTTGCTTCTGGAAGGAGGAAGGGAAGAGTAGTTATTTGAAATGTGCCTGAGCACTCTGTTTTTCCTAACAAGATCTCCCCACAGGAGAAGCTATTAAACCAGATCCATCGCTGGTTTCATCAGAGCCTAACTGGACTGGGGGAAAGGCAATACCCACTTTTGGTCCACACTAGTCATCTTCCCCCACTGAAAGGGGGCACAAAAAAGTGAGAAACACACATGGAGTTCACAGTGCAGAGGTATGGCTCTCTACAAGACAGGACACCTTTGATAGTCCTGTGAAATGCTTCCCCTTCTCCCACAATGTACCACCACATCACTAAAGGCCCATTTCCAGCAGTCCCTTTTACCCGGGACATCACATGTAGCGAATGAGGAAAAATGACGAGACCTACTAAAAAGCAAGAACCAAACAAAACCCAGCTGAAAGACACAGAGCAGACATGGGAGCCAGACTCAGATCTGGTAGGGATGAAGGGATCATCTACTCAGGAATTTAAAACAACTACGATGAAGAGGCTAAGGGCTCCAATGGATAAAGTAGACAGAA